GAATATCTCGGCGCTTTACTCTTTTTACTTCTTTCACCTTTTTTCATTTCCCCTCTTTCCCTCCCGTTACCGCACTCGTCGTTCTGACCGCGTTGCTTTACGGACGGTCGCTCGTCAAACGTTCGTTTTTATTAGCTAAATCTTTTGCGACAGCAAAGCATTATCATGCGTCATAAAACCGTGGATTTTTCAATGGCCGCGCGACCGTGATCTCCCTTTTCGCTTCTCCTGGACCTCGCCGATCGGCGCCGCGATCCGCTTACACTGGCCCGTGTCACATTATCAAAAATGTTTTGTCTCGTGTCGGGAAGTGCAGCCGATCGGTTCGCGCCGATATCTACCGCATCGTCGTTGGCTTATTACACGGTCCGAGAACGTCGTTACGTCGAGCATAAACAAAATCGTAATGCGACGCGATAACCGAATTCTTTACGGTTGATCAAGGCATCTCAAAAGTGCCACGGCACGGTCACGCCGACGACTTCCCGTCGTTGGATTCTAATCGACGACCGCCGCAGGTGACGTGTGCGGGTCGTCTCTCGGGCGCAACAATAATCATAATAATTGTGAAATTCGATCGGAATGCAATCGAGTCGGTGAAATGAGCCACCGAGGTAATGAGATCCGATCCATCGGCGGGACCAGGGCGTTCGCGGCTCTCCTGAATCGTTTGCCTTCAATCACTTTCTTGACAGATGCATTTACGGCCGGGACTGGTGGCCATCAAGCTGGAATGCGCCTTAAGGCTGGTTATACGGCGTATCGATCCATCGGACGGTCAACGTGCCGGATTCAGCTACGAGAAATTTGCGTCTTCGGGTTCGAGAGGGTCTCTCTGGATAGGGTCGCTGCTTCTGTGGCGAAGCTGGAGATGGTTTGGCGGCTTCTCTCGTGTGACCGACGAAATCTTCGGGGCCACGAGTGGAGGCGTATTCGTGACGGCGCATCCGTTGGCCGTTTAACGATTTCCGGTGCGCAAATGTGTTCGTGAGATACGCGGATATTTGCATATAGATGCACATTACTGCGGTTCTCGCGGATGTAAAGAGGGTGCTTGATCCGTTTGCACTTGCCCGCAGTCGCGTGATATTCGTATTTTTGTACGAATCCGCTGCGGGGGAGAAAGGTAGGCAGCGACGAAGCGTCACATTTTCTTTGTCAGAGTCTCTTGTATCTACTTCTCGATGAATCTTAACGTGAGAGGATATATCGTGCGATGCCTCTTTGCGTTTCCTTCAGCATGGATCTTTTTCAATGACTTCGTTAATAACTTTTTGAATGCAAAATCTTGCAAAATCTTAAAAATTTACTTCTTTGCATTATTATTGTGTTTGCTAGTGTTGTTGAGTATCTACTTCCCTGTCGCTAAAGAAAGACTCCCCATGATTAAGGCCGCCTTGGAAGACCCAGAATAAGGATAAATGTCAAGAATATAGTTTAGCGCAACGGAATGTAGTATCTTTAAATAGTTACAACATTTGTATAGTACGTAATTCGAGCTATCATTCCGATATTTCCAGATTAATTATCATCCATCTTTAAAAATGTAATATTGTTGAGATCTGTGGTCTGTTCTTTTCAGCTGCACTGCTAAACTGATGCAATAAGTTAAAGTGAAACAAGTATATCTTTTCTCACTCCAACTTATTGCACCAGTTCAGCAGTGCAGCTGAAAAGAACAGACCACTTGATTTCCCGAGCTTGTTACATTTTCAGTAGCTCAAATTGCGTGCTATACAAATGTTTTTACCGTTTGAAGATGCTCTTTATTCCGTTGTACTAAAAAATATTCTTAACAATCACCTTCATTCTGAGTCTTCCAATGTAACTTAACCTTTGGAGAGAAACGGCATTAAGGGAAGTGTCGAAAATACGCTCAAAGATTCCTTAGTTTATGATCGTCAAATGGAAGTACAAGCAGAAACTGAAACTCCGCGCGAATAAACTCTCCGTTAAAATCGTCGCCAAAATGATTCCGCTAATAACCGGCAAATCGGTTGATTTCGCGCGAGATTCATCCATCCCGGATTCATCCCGGAAAATTGACAGCTTTTCGACAAAGCTTGTACACGAATTACGTAATACACGATGCCATATCGAAACGATGATCGATCGCGTCGTTGTCGTCGTCGTTGTCGTCGAGGAGGAGGATTTCTATTTCTCGTCGGCGCTCGTCTCACCGCAGAAACACGGACGGGCATTATTATTCGCGTCCTGCTAGGTACACCGGCAGCGCGATCTTTTCTTTTTGCGCCGAGCGCGGGATAAAAACGTCCTCGTTCTTTTGCGCGTAAATTGCACGCTCCCTTCTCAGACGCGCGCGTCGAGCATTAAGTCCGTGCGTGGAGTCCGGCGTGGATCCTGTGTTTGCCGAGGGGATAATAGTGTAATGGATGGACAGGGACAACGAGCCAACGGGACGAGACTGCCGTTTTCGAGAGTCTAGTGTCCGGCTGTCGTCGCGTCTAGTTCGCGCGGTTGTTCTCCTTTGCCGCTTAATTGGCGTCATTGTCGAATTCTTCGTAGAGTCTAATTCTTTGCGCGAACAATACGGCCACGTGGCTCGCGTTCTCTCGCAATTAAAACTCGTGCGGCGATGGGTCAGCAGTGCGATTAATTGTATCATTATCAATCAACTGCTTTTCGCGTGACACCAGAAATCCTCAACTCGCGACGCACGCTCGTTGTGTCGTCCACTGTGTTGGCCGTGACATTCTTCGACGCGCTAGATTCGCCCGCAATGCAAAAACAAACGTGGACCTTGAAGCTAATAAGAAGCGATTTCGCGGGGAACGTATTGGCAATAAGTGAGAGTTAATTGTCCTAAAAGGAAAGTAGACACGTTTGACGACTAGTAATCCCTAGCCGCTTGTTTGCTGAAGTTTCCCTACAGGCTAGTCTGATGTGCAAGCATCGACAAAACTGGTCCCTGTTCATCGAAGCTAGTACGTAAAGTACGTGCAAATATTTTCCGCTTTACGATCGTAGACTGAAAGAGGGAGAGAGAGACAGAGAGAGAGAGAGAGAAAAGTCAGGATTCTCCTCGTAATACTTTACCGCCTCATTCTAACGACTTTCAACTACCGTGCCACCACTTACAACTAATTTCACTACATGAAAAATAATTAACAACAAACTTATCGGTTTCATTAATAAGTTTTTGCTCACCTCGTCCGCAATCTCGCTAATCGAAGAGGTCCCTTGTAATCTCTACCGCGAATCTTGTTACTGCGTTTCTTCACGCTCGCGCGGCAAGCTGCGCGTTACAAATATCAATAAATTCACGCAACGTTAGCAGCGGTGTAATCATAATGGACGGTGCAATCAAAGTGGATCTGCTTGCGCCTAATATATTGGCGAGTGATTTCTCTGCGCGCTGAAAATTGCTAATCGAACAGGGCCATGATTGAGGGGCGAGCCGACGGCACGGTGGTGGTTATTTTATCCTAGAGTCCGCGGAACGCGGAAGTCTTTCGCGCAATGCTTAGGCAAATGTCGTTTGTGCAAAGAGGATCGCGTACCGTTGCACGGACCGTTAGAAACTTTGCCATTCTACCTCGCCGATTTTCCCACGGCTTTCGCCGTAACGGGTGCAGCCTCTATGCCAATTTCTGGTAACAAGGAGAACGAGACGTTACGTCGCGTTATGTGAGTACGCGAACATTGCGTAATCGCTCTCGCGAACCCGCTCGGCATCGCCGTTTGTTTGTTGCTCGATCATCTCTGATCGTCGCCAAAAATCAGCGTATTACGAAACAAACGTCTCTTTCTCTTTCTCTCTTAGTTCTCTTCGGTTCAATGCAGTACAGGCGTACTTATTCTTCTTAAAGGCATATACAAATTTGTACTTTGTACTTATGATTTTAGCAATTGTTTTTCATTTGATTTAAGTGTTAAAATCATGCGATTGCGTTGAAATCTATGTAGCTTATGCTAACGATTCGGATTTATAATTTTATTTGGTTATCATTTTGGTTTTATTAAATTTTCTTTTTACACCATCTGACTTGACAGGCGGATTTTCTTATCATAACATATTGTAAACTTCAAGGATTTGTTGGAACCTAGAGTATCAATAAACTTTATTTTTTTTTACTGTACTTTATTTTCCCCGAAAGTTTCGCCGGAAAAAAAATTTGATTGTATTAATGTGAAGTTCGGTTGTAACGAACGAATCAACGCGTTTTGGTTAAAAGCCACAGAATTTCTGCACTTTTTATGACTGAATTTTGATTCTTCTATTTTCTTTGACCAAAATACATTGCTTCGTTCATTACAACCACATTTCATGTTAATACAACCAAACTTTTTTCTCCGTATAGATTATATGGAAGAAGACGTATTGCGCAAGCTCCGGCGCGACAAACGAGATATCATAGCGTCGACCGCTTTATCCCCTTGCATAGAAGTCGCCGTCCGACACGCTTTGTTTTCTATGTTAATCGCGTATACAGGTCAGAGGGACCATTGGCCGATTTAGGTTGAGATGTGGCGTGGCATAGCTACTTAACCGTACAATTGGTTGTCATTGACACACAAAACCGCCGGTAACGAGTATGACTATCGCGTCGTCCGTCGTACACTTTATTGCTTCATCCAAACGAGTAAGTAGAGCGGTCGCTCGAGATGACTAACTGGCATAAGTAGCCCATCGGCATCTTGCGAAGTAATTAACCGCGCTCAAGCTGAAATATAATATCACGCCCAAGCGGCTTTGCATCCTTCGTTTTCGCTCGCGTGTTCTCGCGAGGAGTGCGAGTTAGAATTCAACGTCCGCGATATCAGTCTTTGGCACCGCCAAGGCGTAACCACCCGCGGGCAAAACTTATTGGGAACGAACAATCGAAAGCAGTTAGCCGATTTCCGATATCAATAATCAATGATAGAGAGAGAAAGAGAAAGAGAGAAGGAGAAGAGAAATAGAAAGGAACAGAGAAGGAGAAGGGAGGGAGAGAAACAGAGAGAGAGAGAGAGAGAGAGAGAGAGATTTGTGCGCTTACCTCGCTCTTGAGATTCAATGGCACATCGCAGGGGGCGTCCAGCTCTGCCTCCGCTTTCACCTGATGAGACAGCATACTGTGGCTGTGCCGGGGCGGTACGGCGGTCGCCAGCATGTTGGAATGCTGCAGATGCTGAAGACGAGGCTGGAGATGGGGCTGGTGGTGATAAGGCGGCGACAATTGGGTGTTCAGAGTGCGAAGATCAGCTGGCGGGGAAGCGGGCGCAGCGGTACTGCTCTGTTCCTCCTCGGCCGAACCCTCCGCCATGTCAGCCTTGCATCCCGGGGACTCGTAATCTGCAAATCGACCAAAACTCTCAGAGGACCGTTCTAATAGCTGGCGCACCGCCGCCGCGCAGCCTCCGGCACGACGCAATCCCATTATGGCGCGAATATAATTCGCGGTGTTCGATCGTCAATAACGCGAAACGATTGCGACACGGTAATACGGCGATCTTGTACTTTCGGACTGACGTCATCTTATAAATACGGAAACGCATAGATCAGCGCCGCGAGTGTGTTTGTGCAAATTTCAGTTTGATACGCGCCGAGAAACAGCCGTTGAGCAATAATCCGCGCGTTGCGCGAGGATAAATTGCACTGGAAGAAACAAGATAGCCTTACTTGAGTTTACTTTTTTCTTTAAGGAAAGCATAGTCCTTGTTAAAAAAAAAAATACTTTAAAGTACGAAGAGAATATTATAGTTTTTTCTCATATAAATTCTTTTGAATTTCTTATGATTTTAGTAAAGTAGGAATAGACGTTCACTAAATTCTGTCTTGCTAAGGAACAAAGTAAATTTTGCTGTAGATGTAGCAATTGTTAGAATGGCACATTTCAATTTCTAAAATATAAGTGACACATACAAAATAATAAATGTAATATAAAGTGAGAAAATAATTAATTACTATAGAATGTTGATTTATTCCTCGATTACAAAATTCTCAAAGTAATAATTTTAACTACAAAATTCTCTCTGGATAGTATGATAGAATAGAGAAATATAGGACTTTTTCCAGTGATTGAAACCAATTTGTATCAATCTAGTTTTTTAAGGATTAAATCAGAAAAAAGAGAAACGACACCCTCTGCTACCCCTATATAATATATAAACATGTTACTAATTAAACCGGTGTGGCGACGTGCGATGCCGCGCCAGCCGTATCGAACGGCAGCGCGTGCAGCTGTTAAGAATGCAGACACACTGGAAATTAGGAGGAGACCCGTTCATCTTCCGACTTCAAAGCAAAAACATTTGGTCGGCGCATCGCATCGGGTAGAAGGCGCGCGCTGCGATGCGGGGGAAGCGCCAAGGATAAGGAAGACAAGGAGAGGGAGGAGAAGGGTTCGAGAATAAAATCGCTGGCGCAACGCACGCTGGTCCGCAGGCATCCCGCGTTTATCCGCCTAATTATTTTTATCTAAGCGTTCAGTTAGTAAGAATTCAAGGGCAATGAAATCGCTGCCGTCTGGACACGCCGAGTCGGGTTCCCTCGCCGCTCTCTGTTCACGTCTTCTCCCTCCAGTACCTCCGCCGTCGTCGCCGACGCCACCGCCGCCGCCGCCGCCGCCGCCGCCGCCGCCGCCACCGCAGCCGCCCGCTTCGTCGCGCCGCGGCCGCCGTCGTATACTTGGTGAACGCAACTAATAACATCTGCTTCTATTTTTGCGCTGGCCCGAGTCCAGCGCTTTACTTTTTAAAAGCTGCGCGCCTATGACGAACGGCTGGATGGATCATCGAGCGGAAGCCCGGGCGTGGGGGGAGGGGGAGGGCCGGCAGTGAAACGAGCCGGTTATTCTGGACAAATTATTGTCAAAGGGCGAGAAAACACCTTCTGCCTGCGAGCTACTTTGTTCCTCATAAAAGGCGTTTTATAATGGCCGTCGTAAAAATATTTGATGCCATGCTTTAAAACGGCGGCGTGTTTATAATAAAGGCGTCAGGTCGTTGGATACCAAATAGACCGCTCACAAGTGCAAACTCCGATGTTAATGTCGCCTACTTCTACAAAATACGGGTATCCTGATACGTGTCCGTCATCGCACGATAACTCGAGTTCGTTCGACGGTGTCGCGAGGCAGCTCCTCGGGACGTCGCGCCAGGATGATCGGACGAGATTTAGAGGAACACGCCTCTTTTTCGACGAATACGCAGACTGTCGCCGATCGCGCTATGGCTTTGAATCTAAAGTGATTTATATTATGGCCTCTTGGACCATGAAGTGAAAAAAGTGAGTAAGATTTATCTTTGGGCACGAACTACATTGTCCACCTGCTCACGCATTATTTTGCCGTAGTGTTTTCTGCTCTTGCCATCGGTTACTTTAAATACTAAGAATTTGATACAACCGCAAAAATACTTGACAGTAAAATAATCACGGTAAAATTTATTTTTTTATCACTCTTGTTAACGGGGAGTTAACGAAAAAAATTTCCATATTTCCTTTCTTTTCCATTTTTCATTTTGCATAGCAATAATAGAATAGCTCATTTTCGAAGGAGGATATTATTTATTCTAACATCCGCCATACCTAAAATTATACTTAGCAGAATCTTATAATTTAGTCTCAAGGGAATTTTTTTAAAACCAGTAAGAGAAAATACTCTATCATATGAAAATAAAGAACTCTAGTTCTAGCGAAAACTTTTACTCAAAGAGTATTCTTTTTCTGATAAAGTAGACTGTTAACCGGAAATCTAACTTTTTCCATCCTTTGAATCAAGAGAAATATATTTACTTGAAATAGAACGCTCTCTTACGTACGATACAAAAGACGCGACAAGCAAGATTTGTATTGCAGATAAGAAACGAAATTCCTCTAACTTTAAGAATGTTGTGCTTATTTTCCTTTTGGCTTTAGAAGAAACCTTACTTCTTGAGGTTATATATAAGAGAATTTTGTTAAGGATGAAATTAAATTTTGTTGAGTGCATATTTGCTTGAAATCAATTAAAATGGCGGAATGTATCGACAGTATGTAGCGAAATGCAATGGCTGTGATCAGTTAAAAAGATCATGTCGATCATCACTGCGAGGCATCAATTTGCGCATCACACAATGAAAAGAAGCTTTGTCACTAATTAAACTGGTTAATAAATATTACTCAATTTTTGTGTCATGGGAGCAAATGGCAATAAACGAGTTGACGGTGAATTCTCGTCCAATGTCCGTCTCAAAAAGTCAAATTATCGTACGGTAATTCGATTCGCGAGCACTATACATCGCGAAAGGAGAAAAGCAAAACGTTCTCTCTGTGAACGCGCCCAATCGCCGATCGCAGGAATTCGAGCCTAGCGGTGGCGCGAGGGTTCTTTCGCAAAAATCACGGAGTGTTTAATTCCCGAACGTCTTTTCCGCCCTATAAGGACGCGCCATCCGAGCGGATTGTATGCAGCCCATCTTTTTTCCGTTTGCAGTCATTAATTTCCGTCGGAATCATATTAATCGCTCTAGGGCTGCGCCCGTGAAATTACTAGACGCTTTAACCACCGGCTGTCCAAACCGAATTCGTCCGCAGCGATTATTATATCGCGTTCTGAGGTCTAATGCCGGGTATTCCGAAAGCTAGCCAATTAGTATCGTCGATTTGGATGCTTTAATGAGAGTGCGGTTTCATTAGCGTATCGCATCGCCCTCACGGTTCGTGATTCGTGAAATAGAAGAGGAATTCTTAACCGGACGAAGATATCGCGACTGATTATAGCGCGATCGTTCAAACGTCACCACAGCCGACCGTGTCTGAAAATTGGTACCTTCGTCGTGCGACCTCGAAAAAATGCGCTCTTCACGATCGTGATCGTATAAATCTTTTGCAAAAGGGCAGAGTCTACCCCAAGGGTTCTTCTGGTAGTATTCGATGTACAAATTCGACCGCGAGGCATTCTACATTTCGGCAACATTTCCATTTCAGGTCAAATTTTTGATCCTGCTCTTGACCATCAAATACTACTTAAGATCTACTTTGATATACTTTGAAGTCAATCTTCTTTGATTTGACCTACAGCTTTCCCGAGAAGTCTTTTTTAGAACTTGAAAGTGGCATTTTGTGCATTTTCTATCACTTAGGGACGTTAAATAGGACTCTAGTTTCCATGTGTATTAAACATACACTTATACTTCTGATCTTTCAGAATATACAAGTATTAGAAAGTATAAGAGTTAAAAGTAAGGTTAAATTTCCATCTGGGTTTTTTGGACGCGGAATTTTGAATCGAAGGTTTGATCCTAGTTTCGACTTCAATGTTTCTTTTCACATCTAGTTTGATGCTATATCGAAGCCTATATCAACTTCTTTTGATCCTCCTTAACCCACAAATTTTGTCGAAAAGTCGTCTTTAGAACCTACAAGTGAAATTTTGTGTGTTTTCTATCATTTAAATAAAACTTTAATTTTCATGTATATTAAACATACATATATACTGATGCTTAAGAATATACACTTAATTAGAAATTCATCCCATGGTCCTCATCAGTTTGATCCCAATCAGTTATCTGATTTATATAAAGTTACCACTAATTATTTATAAAGTTCGAATCGTTAATAATCCTTATTATTAGTAAAATCCTGATTACCGTTACATAACTTATCAGAACGTGATAATATCATCTTCTACCAGATAATTGATTGAGCTCAATCTGATCAGAACCATGGGATAAATTACTAGTCAGGCAGACGTTAGAAAGTTCAGGTCGAAAGTAGGGCTAAAATTTAGGCTCGAGATTTTATATACTTTTACGTTTCCAAATTGCTCTTTTCTCTCTCTCTCTCTCTCTTTCTCTCTCTCTCTCTCTCTCTCTCTCTTCCTCTTGACATGATCGAGGTGTATCTTTCAGAATAGACAGAATAAATTTCATTCTACGACATCACTACTACGGTCCCCTTATTTGCCGGCCGCCATCTCGGTATCCCGCAACTTCTCTTCGGGAATAACCACTCACTGAATAGAAAATCCGTGCGATAGGACGCGCGATTAATACGCCAAAGCGATTGATATGAGAATCACTCGAAGACCTCCGGAGGCAATTAAAACCCGCGAATTACGCGCGACGCTGTCGTCCGTTGAGACGCGACGTGTTCCCGTACCTACCGCGCGAGGAGAAGATCTTTCCAAGCAGTGTCCAAGTCCACTCATCCATCCACCCTCCGGGTTTGCCTTCAGGCGACACCCGCCGTTTCCTGATTTTGTCCTGTTCCCTTACATTTCTCCCTGTCCCTTTTTCTCACGCCAGTCAAGCCGCGTCCTTCTTCCGCGTCGTCTTCTTAGCCCGCGGCACGCATCGCGATTTTGCATTATAGTCCTATAGCTGACATCGACGACAAAGATGACGACGACGACGACGACGACGACGACGACGATGGCGACGACGACGGCGACGACGACGACGACGACGACGATGATGACGACGACAACGTGGAGGCAGCGTCAGCGGCAGCGTGCAATTAAGGGGTTGATTGATGTTAATTCAAAGGGTAATTAAGAATGTTGCGCATAAAAATCCGGTAATTTATGGTCATTGGGGATAATTATATGTTGACCAGCTTGTAATTGCAAGCGCTCCATGGCCTATACCGCGCCGTATACGCGTCCAAGGATTGCGGGTAGCTACCTAGTGCGGCAATACGAGTGTTGGTGCTGGGTCGTCCGTGTGGTTGTGTGTGCGTATTCACGGGCGGGCTTCTCGGAGCGTGTGCGGGCGGGGATATACGGTCTCAGATCGCGGCTTATTATAGGGGCCAGTAGATAAGGTGGGTTTAGAAACAACCGGGCGCCTCTGGCCAGCAGCTAGTTTCTACGTAACGCCGGCATTCTCCTCTCTTGGTACAACGCCGCTCGGGGCTATGGAGGTGTGTATAAACCACCTAGGCGCTGGAGCTCCAAGGCGATTGCGATTTACGAGGCCGATTCTCCCGACCGTCAAGACGGCGGTTTTAGAATTCTAGGCCCGGTCCATTTCGCGGCGCGACGCGCAGATCGCGGCGCTGCGTGTTTGGGGTGCCCCGTGCGGTGCTCAAGTCGTGGCTATAAATAACTGGGCGCGGATAATCGCCATATGGCCGCGCTTGCAGCCGAACCACTGACCGTTTCTTCGTAGCCGCTGACGATGCTCGCGTTCGATTTCCTGGTACGAATCTATTCGCCGCGAGCTGCGAATTGACGTTTCCAAAGCCCGTCGTTTCTCGACGTGGGCTGATCGCGACCTCGTTCGGGAGTCCACCTCGCCGATAACTCGTCCCGACCGGAATAACGAACGGATAATGGATTGGACTTATTGAAAATCGGATAAAGGAGGGGGCCCGATGGTTCTCGATTCGGTGTAGGCCGAACAACAAGGTGAATATAAGCGTGTGGGCAACCCTCCTACTTAAAACACTGCCGATAAAACGATCCCAGCGGGACCAGTTGGCAACCGCCCATCGCGATATTGTCCTTGCCGGGCTCTCCATTTTTTCTTCTCTTTTTTCTCCGCACGATCCCGTAATCGAGCGGTCGCCCTAATGGCAACGCATAATTGCGGCTTTATGGCATCTAACCGAGCATTAACGCTAAAGAGAAGTAGGAAAGAAACTCGAGCGCGTCGTGAACGTGCTCGTATACGGTCGATCCGGATTACCCGATGCCGGTGCCCCGCCGCCGCACCGCGCCGCGTCGCGCCGCGCCGGTTTGCTACGATCGAGCAGTAAATGCAAAATAATAAGCGCGCGATAGATTAAACCGCCTCATGCCACCCTTCTGTACGCCGGCCTCGTCTCGCCGGCACGAGCAGGCATAATTAAGGCGAGCGTACAAAGAATCCACCGCCGCATCCGTGTTGGTTAATTCGCATCGACCTTTAACTCGCCTACATACATAGGCATATCGGCTAAGGTAATGGCCGTTTCGTGCGATACCATTCTGTCAGAAATCCGAGGGGCTTTGTCCCGAGTCACGAAACGCAAGGATTAAACTGAACAGCGCGTCGTTAATGCGACTGTGCGAACGCCGAGGCGTCGAGACCGCCGCTCCGCTTTCCGCGTGTATGTGTGTGTGTGTGTGTGTGTGCGCGTGAGCGTGAGTGCGTAAGAGCGTGCGCGTGAGCGCGTAACGCGCGCACCGGAGAGCGCGCGAGAGTGCCCATAAATCGGCGCCGAACGGGTTCGGCATCAGCGCGCGTTACCCAAGACGCAATATTTTACGCCCTTGTCGAAATTCTCGCGCTGCCAAACATTTTGCATTATTCCGAGGAGATTCTTTTTCGAGACGACGGTAATCGAAGGCTAATCCTGTGCACAGGAATGAGTTCAGCGTACGAAAATAAAATTGTATACGCGAAAAGCTTGTGACGCGCGGGCGCTGTGACGAGTGTCTCTATATTCACCCGTGTCACTTTAATCAGAAATGCGATTGCTCTGTTTTATTCAAGGAACAGTATTCTGACCACATTGCGCCTCACGAATTCGATAAAAACTGTCACTTTAACGCTGGAAACTTGGCACACCAGGCGCGAACGCGTAATAGCTTCTCCTGCAATGTGAATCCTCCGTAGGCGCAGGAAGAATATTTCATGTTTTACGGCGCCAGCGTCGTTGGGGTTTCGCCGGATAAAAAAAGTGTCAGCTCGCCGGCTAAATCAGAGCCCCGAGTGCATTAAACTCCGAATTACCACAAATAGAACTTTAACCGCACATGCCCATTATAATGGCACCCCCCGCTGAAGATGTATTTACGTACTAAACCGCCTTCGTGGCTCACGCTGAGTCGTCGGAATTAACATCTGGCCCAAAAACGTGCCGCTCGGTTCATTGGACCCCTTTTTCTCCTTCTTATGAGCGTACTAACCGTTTCATCACAAGTGCTCTCGATTATTCGCGGAACGATGCGCGCTACCGTTCGGTCCTGCGAGCTGTTCCGTTATTAAGAGGCGAATTAATTTCTGATGTATTTGTTACACGACTAAAGTAATGAACGGTTCTTCGCCAGAAAGTAAAACAACTTTGTTCCTCTGAGAACAAAGAAGTCTTCTCCCAATTTTGTATCTTGTAGTTCGCACATTACTGGATTGTGCAATAAGTAATTTTTGATTTTCCAGATAAGATGTAACGATCATATTTTTTTATTGTTATAATTTTAAGCATCAGTTTATGCGAAAGATGGCAGAAGACTATAAATAAAAAAATTACATATAGAGAGGAATTGCCGAAATCGTACTGGCCTCCTAAATTATACTTTATCACTTTTTTTATTATTATTGAGCATGAACGACATTTAATATGATAAAAATGAACGACATTTAATACGATAAAAATGAAAAAATAAATGAACAATAAAAAATAGAATTAAAAAAATTTCAGTTTATGTCTTACTTTGTGCGTGCTACATATATTTTAAAAAATCAAGTACGATTGATGATGTATGATTTAGGAAACCGATAGAATTTTGGCAATTTTCCCCCATATTGTTTTATCAAATTACAACAACATAAAAATACAGTCGTTTTATTTTATCTGAAAAATCCGCAATTACTTGTTACACGGCTCGATATATTAGGACCTTAACTTAGTTTCCGCCCGCAAATGTTAGATGGCAATGCAAACAGTTCTAGTAGTCATTACTAACGAAACAGGTAGTTTGTGATTAATTTCGACATTTCTCGATAACATTCAGTCAGCATACACAATTATTTTCCTAAACAACAATTTCTTTTGCTTTGTGAAAAATGGAACGCGATAAAGTGTTTTTTCGACATGTGCTTTTGCACTATTTT